CAGACGTGTGCTCTTCCGATCTCCCCAAAACCCCAAAACCCCAAAAGAATATAATTGCTAGATCTGATTAAGAATAAATGCACTTTAAAATTAACTTATTTTTAAAATCTCAAGCATGCAAGCAAACATCATTCATCTTCTAAGTCCCATCTTCTGATAATTGTTATCAAACTTCTTAGTGAATTCACTATAAGCCTTGGGCACAGTTTTTCCAAATCCGCCTGAGTATGATGAGCCTAGATTGCTCAACGGATCAGAGTTTTGACTATTGCTTGCAACTGTTTATGAAGCGTCAGCTTTAGGTGGCTCATCTATGATAAGTTTTAATTAATAATTCTTACTGTGATAGTAATGAGGGTTAATGAGTTCCTCAGTTTTCATTCTCTTATCATAGAATAAGTTATTAGATGTACCGAAATCTCTCTTCACAAAGTCATCCTAGGTGGCTCCATGACCGAAGAACAAATGAGTCTTAGTTCCTCTTTGAATCTCCTCTGTAATTATTAATGAGATATATGTAAAATCCAAGTAATTGACTTACTCATGTGATCCTCATACTCTTTCTTTTCCTTTTCAGCCTGAAATATTAATATGAAAAAGGAGATTGCTTACCAAGATATCATCAAGAGACTTGGGTGGGAATTCATAAGCGAGCAAGGTGTTTCCAAGATGGAATTTAGAACGTTACTCAGTTGTGATTGGCTGATAGTTTTTCTAAGAAAAGATTAAGATTATGATGATCTCGGGAATAGCATACAGGCTTGGAGGATAATTCTCTTCCAAAACGATCTTCAATGTGATTTCCCACTAATACTCCTGTCTTATATGGATTTTATGAGTCTTTTGAAAAGGCTTGAGCTGACATTTTTATTCTAAGAATTATAATAATTTTACTAAGTTTATTTATCTCTTATTTTATTTCATTCAAAGAGTAATGCTATTGTCCCTCACGGGGTTTTGGGGTTTTGGGGTTTTGGGGTTTTAGGAGTATCTTAAGATATTTGGCCTAAT